AGTTTGCTACTAATTTTAAGCCATGACTTCTGTTACTTCCAAGATTTTTTGTTCCTGTGCTCGTGTAAACAATATACCATCGATAGTATACTAGTAACCGCTACCCTGTCCGATGTGCATAAGCATACTTTTTCAAGATTAATTTCCAAGTCCCAACTTTAGGACCCTCTGGCTAATTTATCTAGATCAGAGTAGAGATCAAGATGATCAAGCTCATCACTTATTATTCTCTGGATTTTGACGGTCTGTAAACAAAGTTGTCGACAAATTAAATGACATAGAGAAGATAGGGGACTCAAGATGGTGTCCTGAAGTACACTACCACTGACTAACTTTCAGTCAGATAGTGTCCCGTTTACCCCATATTGTCTTCAATCACAGAGGAATTCTCTTGCTCACTCTTGTAGTGTATCTGTTATTTCAAAGCTTGAAAGCTACTGCATAAACCCATAGTGAGAAACCTTATAAAATGCTTTACTAAAACCAATGAATGTCTCGTCGAAAAACAAACCGTTATCTTGGGCTTCTGTTCAATCATCTCTTGCAATTAGTAAGTTTTTTAAGAATAGAATGCTTATTCCAAGACCCGTGCTGCTCGGAAATTTGACAGATTTCATGATCATACGCGACTTAATAAATTGAAATATTTTTTCCCAAGTATCTTAACAATTATGCTGGCTAGGCTGACAGGTTAGTATTAAGACTTAAGTATAGGGTCAACTGTGCCACCCTTCTACCACTTAAAGAGTTTGGGAGAGGGACGTGTTGAAAAGCATCGTGAGTGATTCTGAAATGTTGTCTGTCAGACATGATAGTAATCATGGATGCAGCCTATAAAGACCTGGTGACTTACAAGATCTGAGGTTATCGAGGAATTAAAAAAGCCATCTCATCCACAGGTTTTGGTCCTATAGCTGGTATCTCGGTGGTTCGGTGTTGTTAGCAATAGCAAGAGAGTAAATCTTGCTAAAATAGCTTGATAAATTCTCAGTTCTGGCCAAAACTGACACAATTGAACAATAAATCCTGGAGATATTACCAAGAATGAGTGTTGTCTTCAGGTCTACTTGAATCAGTGACATTTTTATGAGTATAAACCTACGTTTTATTGCCTGTGAATAATTGTGTTATTATTATAGAACGTCGCGTATTCATCATTGACAAATACGAAGTAAAATCTGGCAAGTTTAAATTGTACTGACAATCTTGAGTTGATAATTCAAAATTCATATGACATTCCATGCAACCTGCAGACGTAAAGCAAGGGCCGCATTCCTACAATTGAGGAACATATGGAACTCAAAACAACTTTCAACCAATATCAAAAGTCAGAACCTTCAATACAAACGTCAAGACCGTTCTACTGTACGCAGACGAAACTTGGAGAACTACTAGAGCCACCATCAAGAAGGTGCAAGTATTTATAAATAGCTGTCTACGCAAGATACTCGACATCCATTGGCCGGATACCATCAGCAACAGCCTTCTGTGGGAGAGAGCAAACCAGCTTCCAGATGAAGAGGAAATTAGGAAAAGACGATGGAAATGGATAGGACATACATTTCACGAATCGTCAAACTTGGAATCCTGGAGGGAAGCGGAAAAGAGGAAGACCAAAGAACACATTACGTCGGTAAATAGGATCAGATATGAAAAGGATGAATAACAGCTTGAAGGAGATGGAAGTATTGCCCAACACAGGGTTGGATGGAGAATTCTGGTCAGCGGCACATGCTCCTCCACGAGGAGTAACAGACGTAATTAAGTAAGCCAGTGAATAATAGGAAACGTCCGTGAAGCAAACAGAGAAAGTGCTTCAAAATTCAGCACATGAAACAGAGTCAACCATTTTACAAAATCTCAGCCAAAGTATAGCCTCCCAATGTGACAAGCACCATAGAGACTACGTTAAAGAAAACCAGGATAAAAGTCATTAAAATATTCAGCAACATCAAATCAACCGTTAGAATTCAGAATTCGTGAAGAATTTGGTAATAACAACTGCAAGTAATGTAGAAAATGGTAACAGATATACAAAAAGTACAGATAACGACTAAAAAATTCACGCACAACAGGGATTAAAAAGAATATTTGTAGGAAAAAGCAGAATCCTACAAAAACGGATCTAACATAAAGTACTTCAAAGTGTGGTAGATTTTTTGTGACCCACTGATCTGACTCCGGTTTAATCGAACGATGATGTTGTAGCGTGGCGTCGAGTTGAGATTAACTATGAACACCGCTACCAAGAAACACGTGCCAAATAAATCAGAAGGCGTAGGTTGAACGTAACCAAAGAAACCCATAAAATCTCCGAGAAGCCAAATACCAGAAGGCAATTAATGGACCAAGTCGAGATATTTATTTGCTGGCGATCTCGTGGCATCGAAAGGATACCGAGATCGTGCCAGGATACAACCTTGGTTACAGAAGGTAACCGAATTCGCGCGAAGTTACAATTGAAGTGTAAGTATAAGAATGGAAGCACAAAATAGCTGTCATTAGCACAGTCAAACAAAAGCACGTTAAAACAAACACTGGTACAGTTGGTTATAATAATAATTGTTTTTATTAAACCAGTCGTGTTCTCGTGATAAATGTGAGTCACTACAATGTCAACAGAATGTACATGCTGGCTACCCCAGTATACAGTTATCGACTTAGTTTACTTTAGAGAATAACGGGCTAAAAATTGTCAAACATGAACATGAATTTCCAATATGTATGTTTCATACGCTCGTCTCAGAAAGACGACATGAGAAAGGAAACAGACCAGGAAAGACAAAATCCTGATTCATTATACTACTCATTAAAAACCTTAATATAGTTCTAAACGGATGGTGAATAATGTGTCAAAGAAACAGGCATTGGATGAAATAATAGGTGATAGATATTGTAGCGTGGCGTCGAGTCCCAGTTGACTATGAACACCGCTACCGAGAAAACACATGCCAAACAAATCAGAAGGCGGATTAGAATCAAGTTTATTCAATTGGAGATCTCGTGGTATCGAATGAATACCAAGATCGTGCCAAGAGATGGTACAAGCGAAAGCAGGAGAACGGGGTACTTGCGAACAAAGCCAAAAACCGCGAAATAATGACGAAGGTAATGGAAGCACAAAATGGCTGCAATTAGCACAGTTAAACAAAAGCACATTAAAACAAGCACTGGTACAGTTGGTTATAATAATAATTGCTTTCATTAAACCAATCATGTACTCGTGATAAAAGTAAGTCACTGCTATATAAACAAGTAAACAAAAGGCCCATAAGCATAGGAACACTGGGACATAAAAATAAGACGTGTGTTGAAGATCACGACTTTTTATGAAAACAATAAAGTTATTATCCGATAGTTATATGCTGTCTGAGTTATCAATGTCTGTTCAGAGGCTAGGGTGAGTCATGTAAGTATGTATAATCACTAGACACTACATTTTAAACTACCGTCATCCAATCTTCATTTCCTGAGTTCACCTAAGTCTTAGGCTGTTACTGATTAGTGTCTACTGCTTTCCTTAGTTTTTGTTAGTCAATTTTGCTTGCTAAAGGGGTCAACGTTATAGTCAAGCTTTTGCTCTCTTCCATTACTGAAGCATGGCACATCGATTAATTTGTAACTTGCTTTCCCAAATAAGAATAAAACCAAATTCTAATTTAGGCAATAAATTTTATTCACAAATTGCAACTAGTCGACTCAGACCTCCTTTTAATAATAATTATAACAATTACAAAACAAACCCTCAATTTTCTAGGTTCTCTGAGCAAAAACTCCCAAATACCAAACCAAAGGCAAAGTAAAACCAAAATGTCTGACGTCAGAGATAAAAGCAAGCATGTTCAAAAGTTGAGTGAAACAAATATACTCGAAATTACAGTGACATTACTAATATTCAATATACCAGTTTCCAATCAGTCAAATGTTTTCACTTCTGTAAGAGACATCGGTTCACTTTTCCTCATGTTTTGTTTTCCAACTCTTTCTTTTCACGCTACTCTGCATGGTATCCTAGTGCACAACGTCTGGTAGACAGCTTATATGTCACTGTTAATTAAGGGATAATTGGGAATAACTGATTTCGAAATGTTATAAAAAGATAAAAATATTTATTGAACGACCAAAAAGTTAATTTAAAATGCTGCTCTAGCTAAGTTGCAAAACGGACCTATTGCGCGATAGAGTAATCCGTATTATTCAATGCTCAGCCATGAGTGAAGTCAGGTAAAATTCACAATTTCTTACCCTCACACTAAAATTCAACACTAAGTTTCTCAAGCTTGAAAGCCAAAGTTAGCAAAGAACTGGCTTATAGCTGATGCCATCTCGTGATGAAAATCGTAACCCCGATTCACAAACCTGACTGAAAACTCCAGCTGAACGCTTACTAACTAGCCATGATCTTTTCGCATTATAAATGGTGTCAACTGGTGACAAATGCTCAATAGATCTGGCAAGCATGCTCACCCATCACCCTCTCGAACCAGCTGCCTATGATGCATTTCACATTAATTACGGCGGTTATCATTACAGCATAACCAGTAACTGCTTCTCATCTCCCTTATTATCATCTCCATTTCCCCCTTACTATTTCGATCCCGTCTTCTTACACACTATAATCCAAGTAATTAATTAAGTTATTCTTAAATCAATCATCCTCCTGTAGCACATGAATAATCGCTTTATTAATTTCAAACTGCAATCAAACAACCTCCTGAATTACAATGCGATGGCCGATGGTATCCAGAAGATCTAATTCATTGAGAAAAACTTAATGACTTAGACTACAATCCACGAATAACTCCTGGACTGACAACTTATTTAGTCTACTTGCCGGACTATCACCGATTGAATATAACCAAATGCATGGAGCTGTGCCGAAAAGACAAACAGCGGGGGCGTATAATTAGATAGTTTATACAAGCTTTTGAAAAAATGTTTTATTTTATTAGATGAGAAGGTAGTCACTTAGTATACTGGCTTGTCAGCGCTGTGTTTAACTTTATCATTGGAGGTCGTTAGCCTGTGCGTCTAACCAATTTGAATTGCCGCGCTGGCACTGCTAACAGTGCCTGTCAAGTCGTTATAGCACCGTGGTGAGTTTCATAGATTATTTTTAACATATTTCGAGGTGGCCTTGAAAAACTTCAGCCACTAAATGGAGTAGTTGCTATCACCTAAGTGTCTCTATAAGGTCGTAATAGGGATGCAAATTGATGTGAGCAATTAGGAGTTATAGTTAAAACTCAGGGTTACGAACTGGAGTTGTGGTTTACATCTTGTACCTACATTAGCTACAGTGCCAAAACGGACATTCTATAGCTATACGGCTAAATCATCATTCAACCAAGTAATTCGGATTATTTGCTAAAATCCAAGACTTGCTGTCATAGTAGTGACTGGTTCGTATCTAAATTGTGATCTTGCCGCTTGATACTGTCGCCTTATTGTCTCTATCTTCATGATACGACTTATATTTTCTGGGGGTTGGCAATGTTTGTCTTGCACGGCCTCAGTATCTTAATTGGCCTAGTCATCCAATCTTTACTCCTACTTAGATGACTAAGATATATATATATATATATATATATATATATATATATATAACGAATTTTTATCATAACTTGTCGGCAATACATTAACAATCGCATTGATAGGCTATTAAGAATTTATCAGGAACCGGATTTGAGTTCGGTATGTACCAATTACGTAGTCATTTTGTATAAAAAGGACAATGTGTACTATGCAAAGCACTATTCTATGTAACATTCCTAAAGAATGTGGATAACGTGAGACTATGATTTATGAACAACCTTTGAGCGAATTTTGAGTAGCCTTAATAATGCTTACTTCCAAAATTAAATGAGGTTATAAATTAGTCTGAAGAATTAAAATTACGACTTAGAGTCGACTCGGCCTGTAAAGTAAAATTATCCTCATTCAAAATCATTGTTAGTGTAACGGTTACTGAAAATATGTGTCAACTGTTAAGTTGTCGTCTTATTTGAGTTGGTTCTGTGAAGCTTGAATTTGTCAGGATTAATGAACTTACCAGTGCTTATGGGGATAAAAGTGAGTCCAGTATGTTAGTCATCCTGCTAGTACTATCGTGAAATTTGTTCTGGGTAGTTTTCCCTTATTTTTGCCAACGGTATGCGAACAATTAACTGTAGTCATCATGGAATATGTAACTACAATGAACCCAGTTTTATAAAATTTTACCGTGGTATTAAAGGGCTGTGTAGGGGTGGCTTTGTCGTTTCATCACTTTTTGGTTGGGGTCTTCAAAGTGGTGTAGCTCAGTGGCTTGAGACGTTATCAAGTGTGGCTCAGAGTTGAAATCAGTGGTGGTCCTGCTGTAGTTTTTTCTACATCTTTCGTGAAAATGAAAAGATATCCTTTAACTGAAAGCATTCTACTTAGTTGTATTTTTGTCATAACTATCTTCTATTATAATCCATTCTCGTTTACTTTTCTGATCATTTGTTTACCATCCGTTGTCTCATGCGTCCTAGTGACTAATCTTTTTGAACGCTTCACTACACTCGACTAGTTATTTATTTATTTATTTATTTATTTATTTGAACACATATATATTGGTACAAGAGTGCGCCAAACATATATGCGCCACACAATTTCAGTTCATTAATTGCGTGTGGGCTGCGTTACTGCCTGGGTGCCCAGACCGAAGCAGGTGGTTATCTTAGGGGGCCGCACCCCGAGCCTTTGACCTAAAGGTCTAACCCACAAGGCAGTGGAGCATCGTAAGGAGATGCCGTCCCATGGTAGCCGGTGACCGAAAATTGGTTCATACGCCATTTGTTCCCGCAGGATACTGGTGCCCATGTGCACCATTGGTTTGGAATCCGGTTAAAGCGCCGGACATTCGCTTTCCGTCCTCTCATTTTCGTAAACAACACCCCCGCCACGAGAAGGCATTGAGTAGGACTTCCCTGGCAGAGACTGTATACGCGTGGCCGTGTGAGAGTATTTCGAGAGGGAGGGCGAACCCACCCCGCTCTCGGCCATACCAGGGCGTTTGGAGGCTAGTTCCCAGACCAAAAATAAAAATAAACGTAAATATATTCCACAGTAAACAGTAAGTGGTCAATATAATTAGAAAATCTCCATAGACATAGAGAGTTCATCATCAGAGGTTCGGCATCGTGTGTTCGGGCACAGAGATGACAATTCAATTGGTGTCACCATCTTGAAACACCGACTTCGGTGGCTTGGACATGTTCTACGAATGTCGTCCCAGAGAATTCCACGTTTTGCATTATTTGCCGACTCTGGGACTGGTTGGAAGAAGCGGAGAGGTGGTCAGTGCATGACATGGTGTCGTGGCATGAAAGAAAACATGCAAGGGGCTTGCTTCTGTTGGTCCTTCACGACTCCCTGGTTGGGGTCCGAGAGATGGTGCTACACAGTGGCTAGAGACGTTATCAGATATGGCTCAGAATAGAAGCCAGTGGCGATCCTGCTGTAACCTTCTTTTACTTTCTCCATAAAAAGTGGTTGTGTCTCCCTTACCTGAAGGATTTCTTCTGATTGTACCTTTCCATTCCCTCATTTCTACCATACTACCTTACACCAACCTCCTCGTTATTGTTCTCTCTTTTTTTGCGCTCCTTAGCTTTTTTTCCTATTTCGCTTCGAATTCTCATTGTTTTGTGTGGCGCATATATATTGGCGCTCTCTTGTACCAATATTCATGTGTTCAAATAAATAAATAAATAAATAATTAGAAAATATATTCATATATATGGGTATAGCAACTTATACCTGTGTACATACGTACCAGGTTCGACTTTGTGACTGACTAAATTATGTATCTAAGTTTTATATTGAAAAGTTCTGCGGTTTTTTGCAGCTTGTCCGCTAGTACTGATTAAAAATGGGTCAACTGATGCACTGAAATGTGATCCTATTTGAAACATAATTTGGTGAATTCTCAGTCATGCTAATACCATCTGTTCACAATTTCATTGTATTACTTGTGCGGCGTATATTTATTTTGGATCTTATTTGTATTGATGTATTCTAAAATATAGGTGTTTTATTGGGAATTTGGTTTTTTTTCTGGTACTTGGATCTTTTTGAAAGATTTCTTGTCACTTGTTTCAGTTGCTATAAACTTTCCAATGTCTGAGCATTGAAGTAAAATGGAAATACCTGTATCTGACTTCTGTTTTGGAATTACTTGTAAGGTTGAACAACCAATGGGGTTGGATGGTGTGATCTGCAAATCATCAAATAATTTAAACATTGGGCTTGGAAACTACATAAAAGGTGGGTGATTACGTTTATACTAGTGCAACGGATTTACCCATCAACACGTTATAAGAAACTTATACGTATACATAGAAAATTTTTGAGAGAAATATACTGATGCTTGTTATGTAATCAGACGTAATTTGTGTTACATGATCCGTCATCCGTAGGCTTTCTCAAAAATTATGATGCACTTTTATGTCAGTCTGTTCATATCCGAAAGTCCATTAACTTATAACTACTAACATCACCGGTCACTGTTCAACCTCATTGTGCCAAATGAATGAGTCAAGGTCAGTAACAATAATTTACTTTTAACGTCAACAGCTTTACACAGGTTTGTTGAATTAGAAAAAAGCTATCAAAGTATATAGCGACTCGTTGATAAGTTCTTACGTCAGTAAATTTAAAAGAGGCCTTATAATCCATACACAGCTCGTCCTGCCCCCCAAATGCCCTGGTACGACCGATAGTGGGGAGAGTTCGCTCTTCCTCTCGAAATTCTCATATGGCCACGTGTATACAGCCACTACCACGGAAGTCCTACTCACTGCCTTCTTGTGGCATTACTGTTGTTTACGAAATTGAAAGGACGAAAAGCGAATGTCCGGCACTTAACTCGGGTTGGTGGACATGGAGAGTCCATCTAGGGGAGTTGAAAAACCGTGATTCCAAACGAATGGTACACATGGGCTCCAGTATCGTGAAGGAACAAATGGCGTATGAACCAATCGTTGGTCACCGGCTACCATCGGACTGCATCTCCTTACGATGTTCTAATGCCTTGTGGACCAGACCTTCATGTTAAAGGCTCGGGGTGTGGTCCCCTAAGAAAACCACTTGCTTCGGTTTTGGCACCCGGGCTGTATAATAGCCCACACACAAATCAAGTGACTTATATAGCGCATATGTATTCGGTGCCTCCTTGTACCAATTTTTGTGTTAAAATAAATAAATAAATAAAATAGGTCGTCCTATTTAGAGCTAACTTGAATTAGGCCCAGTCACTGATTTGAAAAGTAATTTTAAATGCTATGTATTCGGTCCATTAATTTATTTCTACCTTCTCTATCTTAATTTTACATTTTTTGTTAAGTTTGTTTCTTAAGGTATCTTAAGTTTTTTCATTAGTCATGTGAACAATTGATGACATCGAACAGCAAATATCTTTCAGATGCCCTCATATGGATTCAATATCACAGTTGGTTTGGAATATTTTTGTCAAGTATGCTACGATAATACCTTAATACAACAATAAAACTAGTCACGTTATATTAGATCCAGTATTCGCGACCTAGAATAATGTCAGATTAACACTAGATAATACTTCATCCAAGGAGTCACTCTCAGTAAGTCCGGAGTATAATTCCGTTAGAGGAAAGAAAATCATATTGAATAGTCAGTAGGCTAAGTGCCTGTTTGTCCAGTCATATTTTACTTTCAATACCACATATCAGAATTATTATTGTTATCTTATTGTTTTGTGGGTATTTGAACGTCACCCACACATTTTTACTTGCTATATTGTGATCAACAATACAGCCATCTCATTTACCTTTTATCTCATTAACTTTATCACAGTAAGCTAGTGTAATGCTGTGAAGTGACCTAATACATGTTTGTGCTAGGTCGACAAAATATTCTAGTATGTCTGACACTTTTAATGTGAACCTCAATTCGGAGATAAAATTGTAGGAATAGTTGCATGAATATTAGTAAAATACTAAAATAGGAGTGGGTTGAAATAAGTGAGGTAGGGAATAACACATTGTATATGGCGTAAGTGTGAATGCATAGTAAATCCTAATATTAAGTGATTAAAGGGAATCGCCAAGGAACCCTAGGCTTGAGTCTCGTGCTATATGATGCTCCTTAGTTGCGACTAGAATGACTCAGTAGTAGTGGTATCTGTCACTGTGACACTGATTGACCTGGACTGGAGTCCAACAGGAAACATCAGTCCCACCAAGAATGTGCAGGTAAATCTTACGGATGTCGAGTGGCAATTTACACAAAAGTCTGATTCATAGTTTCTTAACGATTTCGTGCAATCAACTAACATAGGGAACTTGCAAGTCGTGGTTAAAGCTAGTAGGTACATTGTAAAGATGATCATTACTAACAGACGAGAAAAACATGTTATTAGCTACGCACCGTTCAGTGACCGCTCATTATTAGTAATAAATCCATCTTCAATTATAGATAACAGTTACGTTATTGACTATATTATCTATCGTTTGACTATATATTCTGCATTCTTATAGATATATTTGTTTTTAGCGGAAGAATGTAATTATGATAACACTATGAATGACAGCCTAATAGATAATAAGTTGGGAATTTTACGAGATAATCAATCGTTGTATTTGGAGGATAGTTTTAAACGTAAGTTTTACTACAGTTTATTACTTTCAATAATTTGTTGAATTATATATAATTATATCAAGATACTTATACATGTTTTAGTGGTTTGAATAATTTAAGATTGTACACTGCTGCTCGATTGATTATGAGTTTTGGATAGATGAAAAATTGGTTTAGAAACAACAATATTTGCAATTCAGCACAAAATATATCAAGAATGAGCGAAATCTATCCAGCCATTCAAAGGTTAATTAGGAAATATGATCTAAAAATTCTTACAGAAATTAACTGTAACAAAATCCTACGGAAATATCCGAGACCATGAATTTCGTGAAGACACTTTTGACCATAACTTTTGGACGACTGAAACAATTTCGCTCATTTCTTCCATTCTGTTCACTTTGGGAATATGGTGTAAAGCTGCTCCGATCAATCAAATATAAATATAATACTTTACTGGTTTTTCTAATAATCCTCTGAAAAGATTTGATCTTAAAACTATTTTACTAAGGTATTTTAACTCTTTACCTGTATCATTAAAGTATTATTCTAAATGTATTCAATGTTGGTCATTCAAAATCTTTGTTAAGTTATATCTAATGGAAAATGAATCTGTCAATAGACTTATCTTGACTTTAATTTTTACAACAGTCTTAATGATCTGTATGTTGGATAAATATATTGACTGAACTGTATTTAGAAGCTTTCTGCATCCTTTCTGTTGGTATATGTATATTAGTTTTATCATCTATGGTTTTAATGATTCACATCATGGATAGATTTATTTCTGTTTACCTTTTTTCCTCAAATGAATTTTGCAAATCTGATTATTACGTTATTAAATTCTTTAGTAACATGAATATAATATTGCATGATCCACTTTTATAGATAAATATAACTCTAATGATGGTCACATTGTTAATGCTCATAACCGTATTAATGGTGGTACAACTGTTAAGCGACATCAAATTTCATCAGTACAAGATTCTGAAAAGGGTAGGTATAATCTTGAAAGAAACACACTAACTAAATTGTAGTTTGTTCATCCTTTGAAAATATTCTTCACATTGAATTTACAGTGTTCATTGCTAAATAGAACTGTTAATGTGTGAATTGTTGATTACTGAATCTGATGTAATGTAGGAAGTTTACAGAGTTCATTCTAGTTGTAAACTATGACAACTGATATGCTCATTAAGATACATATTTATTTTTATGTGTATTTTATTAATCTCTAATACACGTCAAAAAAATAGTTTGGTAATTCACCTTGGTAGTAATCTTTATTGTAGGAGATTCTCTTTTTTACTGTTCTTTCAAATCACCAATTGTTCTTACAGTGGATTTCCTAAATTAATTGTTAATATTTATAGGACTGAAACTGTCGTGTGGTTTTTGCAACAAGACGTTTTCAACAATTACTGGACGGGACCGTCACATTAAAAGCATTCACAAAAGTAGATAACACATTTCTTGTTATTTGTTTGCTTATTACACTTAATAGGTTGTGATCGTTTGTTGCTTCATTGTTGCCATAGACTAAATGTTGTTGATTCATACTTCTTTCTTTAGAAGTCAGGTTTTGGGTTTTTTAAACCGAAACTTCCAATGATAGATGGTATCACACTAGATTGTATGCTTAGAATAAATTGCATTTGTTTCCACCTGTCTGTTTTCATTTTAATACCCATTTTTCCACAGTTTTCATTTTGTATTATTTTCAATAAATAAATAAATTTTCCTTATAAAAAAACAGTTCATCTACATCATTATACCTCACATTACATTCTTTTACATTCTTTTGAAGATTTAAACCAAATGCTGTTTTCTCTATAGTAAACAGTAAGATACAATATGTCTCAAAAGGACATTAAAATTTTTTAAATAAAGAGTTGGTGGTAGTGAGTGTTGTATCTTGATTTCCTTCTTTTTCGGAGGGGGGTGGTCGGCGTTCATGGTCATGGACACGGAAAATAATAAAAACCAAGCTATCACGATCTCAATGAAATAAATGGTCATTAGTTCACTCTATACACTATAGTTGCTATTTTGTTTTTGGCATATTGCGACTTGGGGTACTTTCTACTTAAAAAGTCGAGTAATTAGAAGTCTCAGGGATTTGATATTGATTGATCCTGTTTATCTGATCCAATGGTTGCGAAACGTTATTTAGCGACTGAATGAAAAACACACACTCATTTTATCAAGTACTAATATCAGTAAATTTCGATGTAATAGATAAACAACCGACCTTTTTTGATGTTGCCCAACTTATAGATGCACACAGATTACAATAAAAAAGTCCGGTTTAGAAATCAGTTAACAAATAGGGACCTCGTATCAGAAAATCAGTTTATTATGCAGTTCAATTTCTCTGCGATTGTAATTTAACCACCTAAACTTTTTCTTCAGACTAAAAGCATATGGTTTGGATGCTTTTATGAGAAAACGGAAAGCGAACGTCCAATGTTCTAGCCGGGTCTGTGGATACTGAGGGTCGACGTGGAGCAGTTGAAAAACTGATTTGAAAGGAATGCTGTACTATGAGCTCTGGTTTCCTTAATAAATGTATGGTGTACAAATCGATTCTGATCACTGGCTACCATGGGAACTGGATGTCTTAACGTGAATTAGATCTTTAGGTCATATGTCCCGATAGTAATCGACCTAACAAAATCACTTATTTTAGTTTCGGCGTCTAGATAGTATACCAGTTCACACAAGTGATAACAGATCTCCAATGTTGACTCAGTCATGATTGGCTTGCGAAATTTCATAGTCATAATTGTTGTTTCTTTTCTCTTTAGGAATAAAATATTCATGTATTAAATGTGACAGAAAGTTTTCAAGTAAATTCCATTTAATTGAACACAAGAAAGTTATTCATGAAGGTGAGTTATTGTGGTAATTATCTTTTGTTTTATTTTATTTGAACACATAAATATTGGTACAAGGAGGCTCCAGATACATATGCGCCACACAAATGAAAAGATATGTGTGAGGGCTGTGATGCTGCCCGAGTGCCCAGTCCAACGCAGATGCTTTTCTTAGTGGGCCACACCACGAGCCTTTAACATGAAGGTCTGATCCACAAGGCAGTGGAGCATCGTAAGGAGATGCAGTCCGATGGTAGCCGGTGACCAACGATTGGTTCATACGCCATTTGTTCCTTCACGATACTGGAGCCCATGTGTACCATTCGTTTGGAATCACGGTTTTTCGACTCCCCTAGATGGACTCTCCATGTTCACCAACCCGGTTAAAGTGCCGGACATTCGCTTTTCGTCCTTTCAATTTCGTAAACAACAGTAATGCCACAAGAAGGCAGTGAGTAGGACTTCCGTGGTAGTGGCTGTATACACGTGGCCATATGAGAATTTCGAGAGGAAGAGCGAACTCTCTCCACTATCGGTCGTACCAGAGCATTTGGGGGCATTGTGGTAATTATGATGTTGTGTGCAACATACCTTCTCAATAAGTCTCTACAAAATGTCTTTTCGACTATTTAGTCGCTGACGAATACCTCCCAACGTCTTTTGATTTGTTCACATAATATGAGGTCCCGAAAACCTTTTGTTTTTTACTGGTATTATTGTCTTAAATGATTAATTATATTTTGAAAAATCTTTGTGTTGTTATTCTCATAGGTATTAATCTTTCATGTGATGAATGTGACAGGAACTTCACTACGAAATCCCAACTAACTAGACACATACAATCAATTCATCAAGGTATAGTCTTTTTTTACAATCACACAATTACATTTACGTGTATTTTTGTGGATTTTAATATGCCTATACACCCTGTTCACTAATCCCATTTTTATTTCACTCTGTTTTTTTTATTGACGTTTTCTTACTATAAGAAAAGTACGAGTAATTAAATTTTCTAAAGGTATGAACTACATGATTATAAGATAATGGGAAATGAGCTTGTTCAATAAGGAGGGATTCTTTTGAAATTTGTTAGAATGTATTGATAAATCAAGGTATTCATATTTTTACTAGTATATTAACATTATTGGTTTGTGGCTAGTTGTATTACTCGATCGTATAAATTGAAGTATGTTGTTTCTTCTGTAGATAATTACAAGGTTCTCTTTACCTCACGCTATACTATCGAGTTTTCGTTTTGAAATAGCTTGAGTTGTTGTGATTCAGTTTGTTTATCCATCATTATCATTGTCTGTGTTTGAAGGTTTATATAATAGTTTTATTTGAGAGTCCCAAAAGATTTCTTGCCAAAGTCTCCAGTCACAAAACCGGGAAATGTTATTTCCAAGTAGTGTAAAACAGAAGCTTAGAAACATCTAAGAAATGAAAAATCGTTTGTCTTGTTTTTAACTGGACATTTACGTAGGACGTTACTGTGGGAGTGTTTCGGAAATTTCTAAAGACCAAAGGTCACACATAACTCTAAGTGTCCTCAATTTTCTGTACATATTCCAACCTTGAAATCAAAATGTTACATTTCGCACCCGTTCTTTGTAGTTCCAGTTGATGTATTGTAGTTTGGGGTTACAGGTATTGACTGAGAAGGCAGTAGTAAGCTCTCCTTTGTTGTACTTACCAGGTTCCATTGTGGTTTATTACAGTCAAGTCCGGTTTGAGTATGCAAAAGGATAGGACTTAAGGTTGAATTTTTCATGTCATGTAACATTATGGTGTAGTAACCTGTTTCGTTGGAATATTTCACTGAAAACACGTCTCGCAAGCTGACTGGTTTTCTTGAATTCATGTGTGTCTATGTACTTGCGTAACTTGATAATGTGATGTTGGTTCCTGGTATAGAATGTGATTGAAGGTGCGTAGGGTATCTGTGTATCTATCTTTATCCAGTTTTCCCAGTCTATTACTCAGCCGTGTGTTTGTGTTTATCTTTCGGCCAATGGGGAACCTAATTTCTCATATACAACAATGATCAATATTTACTCGCTCAAACCTTTTTTCTTGCAAAATGGTTATGTTTATTTAAAGTATATGTGTTCTAAACCGTTACTGTACATATATATATATATATATATATATATATATATATATATATATATATATATATATATATATAGCGAATTTGTATCGGTACATTTCAGTCAGTCAGTCAGTCAGCTACAACGTAGGACTAGGCACATATGTGCATCGGTCCAGGTTGCCATACCGCAACAGTACACAAGATGAACACCGGATTCATAGCAGTGGTTAGGTCAGAGGTGGTAATATATAAAAGAAAGATTGCATATAGAGATATAGTACAAGAAGAAAAAATTGGTTCGTAGAAAGAAAGGTATGAAGCGATTTCAATCTCTTAGTTTAAGGGAAGACAGGGAGTGTATACACCGACACCATTGTGATCGATTCTGAGCCATGTCACCAAGAGTCTCCAATCATTGGTTACGATAGTCACGCGGACCCCAACCAAGTAGTCTGCATCTACCAACATGGCTCAGACTAGAAGTTAGTGACTTTGTGGACTGATGCCACGTTTTGGTTTGACCGCCCCTAACTTTCTTCTAACCATCCCCTACACCGGATAGCATTGCACTTCGTGGTAATCGGTGTTCAGGCATACGTAACACGTGGCCCAACCATCTCAGTCGATGAAGATTCATAACCTCATCAACTGATTTACCATCATTCCCTAATACCCTGCGTCTAACCTCACTATTACTTACCCGGTGATCCCAGCAGATGCCAGCAATATTTCTAAGGCATCTGTGGTCAAATACTAATAGCTTACGAGTGTCTTCTACTCTTAATGGCCACGTTTCGTAGTCGTAAAGTAGAACTGGACGAACTGTCACACAGTATACTCGTCCCTCAATTAATAGACGAATATTTTGACTTCGCCGTAGGTGATGTACGTTGGTAAAAGCCAAACGAGCTTTTTGAATCCGTGCTGAGATTTCGTCCGACACCAAACCATTAGCGCTGGTCAGACTTCCAAGATAAGTGAAGTTGTTGGGTCGGCTTCCAGAGAACTTCAACGGAGCCTCCAGAGGCCCACAAGGAGCCGAAGAGTCCTGGCCAATCTGAGTGTGATGGAACGTTCTAGAATTCCAACGTGGCGTGCTACTATTGGTCGGTAGCATAATGTGTTGTTATCGGATTGGCTGTAAAATGATGTTGATTTAACAGACGCCAAAATCTATAAATACCCATGATTTTCTGTACAAGAATGAACCTTGGAATAAAGTGCTTTCTCTCATTCTTGTGTCTTCTCTCTGGAGTTCAAGTCGCTGTGTAGTTCTAGACTGCGGGTTACCGAAATAGCTTAGGAACCGTATATAGCGTTCAACTTACACGACTTATCAGTGGCGACGGGGATGAAAATTTCAATGAATATTTCTTTGGAGCAATTAGAAGCTTATATGGTGCGTCAAGAAAAGATGTTCGAAGAGTCCCAAATTAGAATCATGGAAACCCTGATGCAGAAATTCTGCCTGTCCGAGAAAAACCCTGCTGCTAGTGAATCTCAAGTATCACATACTGATTCAGTCATTAACGCCATCCATGACTTTAATTTTGATGGTGTAGCAGGTGTAACTTTCGAGTCGTGGTTTAAGAAGTATGAAGATTTGTTTTATATTGATCTTTGCAAACTGGATGATGCTTCAAAAGTCAGAATACTTCTTAGAAAACTTGGTACTATGGAACATGAACGCTATAGCAACTTCATTCTTCCGAAGAACCCACGAGATTTTAGTTTTGATGATACAGTCAAAACCCTATCCCAAATATTCGGAGAACAATCATCTCTATTTAATATCCGTTACCAATGCTTAAAGTTAACAAAAGAACCAGGAGATGATTGGGTAAACCATGCAGGAACGGTGAACCGAGAATGTGAGAGGTTTAGATTGTCGTCCATGTCTGAAGATCAGTTTAAATGCTTAGTGTTTATCTGCAGCCTGCGTTCACCCGAAGATGCCGATATCCGAACCAGACTCCTAAGCAAACTCGAACACTGCCCTAATATGACCCTGCAAGAAGTGACTACTGAGTGCCAAAGGTTAGTAAACTTAAAGCATGATACCTCAATGGTAGAAAACGGTAACTCTTTCCCTGACGTCAATGCAGTTAAGAGAAAAGTCTTTCAAGGTTCCAGTACCCATAATTTCCAAAATAACAGCGACAAACCACCATCTCCATGCTGGGCATGTGGAGGTTGGCACTATAAGAGTTTTTGCCCATATAAAGAACATCGTTGCAGCAAATGTCATCGGAAGGGGCATAAAGAAAACTTCTGCAGGAGAAGAGACTATAGAAAACGTTCCGTGAAGTCTTACTCAAAGAAACACAGATATAGTGCTCCAACCAACAAGATATTGGTATCACATAACAGAGCACGAAGTTGCCACCAAAGAAAGTATATGACCTTGAATATTAATAAACACCGTGCCCGTCTTCAGCTGGACACAGCTTCTGATATTACTTTAATCAGCCCAGAAACGTGGAAGAACATTGGGAGACCCACAGTTTTCCCAACAACACAGCTGGCACACAGTGCATCTGGGGGGAAGCTGAATATTGTTGGAGAAATACCATGCACTGTTTCTAAAGGTACGGTAACAACAAATGCAACATTGTATCTTACTAAGAAGCCAGCACTAGACTTAATGGGGTTGGACCTTATAGAAACACTTAAACTAGCAGATCATTCTATCAACAGTATCTGCAGACGAGTAAGTACAGACAACACCCCAGAATGGAATCAGAAAAACGCCATGCTACAAAGACATCAAAACGTGTTTAGAGAAGGATTGGGAGAATGTACGAAAGCTAAAGCACTGTTAACCTTAAAACCTGAAGCTGCTCCCGTTTTTCGACCTAAAAGACCCGTACCCTATGCTGCTCTTCCAATAGTTGAACAAGAATTACAACGACTTCAGCAAATGGGTGTTATCGAGCCTGTGAACTTCTCGAATTGGGCTGCACCAATAGTGGTGGTCAAGAAGTCGAATGGAAGTGTTCGTTTATGTGCAGACTACTCCACGGGATTAAATGAAGCGCTACAGTCTCACCAGTATCCGTTACCCTTACCAGAAGATCTTTTCGCTAAGCTGAACGGTGGCAGATATTTTGCAAAATTGGACTTATCAGACGCATACCTACAAATTCCTGTATCTGATGAAAGCAAAGATCTCTTAACGATCAACACGCACAAAGGTCTGTTCCGGTATAACCGACTACCTTTTGGGGTAAAGACAGCGCCCTCTATTTTCCAGCAAATTATGGATACCATGTTACAAGGTATTCCAGGAGCTGCAGCTTACCTAGACGACATCATAATTACGGCAGTAGATAAAATGGACCTGCAGAAGAAACTGGACCAGGTACTAGAACGCATAGCTGATTATGGTTTTCGCCTCTGGACGGAAAAGTGTGACTTCTATATGCAGCAAGTACGGTACCTTGGGTTCATAATAGATAAAGACGGAAGACGTCCAGATCCAGAGAACATTGAAGCAGTGAACACAATGCCTAGACCCAGGGACGTTACTACCCTACGATCATTCTTGGGATTGGTCAGTCATTACGGTACCTTTCTCCCCGATCTCCATCGTCTACGTGCTCCACTAAACAACCTACTACAAAAGAACACAAGATGGAATTGGTCTGCAGACTGCCAAGCATCTTTTGAGAAAATCAAGCAACTCCTAACTTCCGATCTCTTATTGACACATTATGATCCTTCTCTACCGATAGTCGTCGCTTCAGATGCTTCTAACTATGGTGTGGGCGCAGTTATCTCTCACATTTTTCCTGATGGGTCTGAAAAAGCTATCTCACACGCTGCCAGATCTCTGACAACGACCGAAAGGAACTATAGCCAAATCGAGAAAGAAGCCCTATCAATTATCTTTGCAGTGAAAAAGTTCCACAAGATGATATATGGTCGACATTTTACCCTAATAACAGACCATAAACCACTACTTGCAGTTTTTGGGTCAAAGAAAGGAATTCCTGTTCATACAGCTAACAGACTACAACGATGGGCAACCACACTTCTGGGTTACGACTTCAAGATTAAGTATCAGTCTACTACCGCTTTCGGGCAAGCTGACGCATTGTCGAGATTAATAGGCTCTCAATCGAAAACCCCGGGGGAGACTCTTGTAGCAAATATAAAAGCCGAGGAAGAAGTTCATCGCGTGTTGGATGACGCAGTTAATGGACTCCCAGTAACCTTTGAAACTATCAAGAAGATAACTGAAAGTGATAAGATACTGAGCTCAGTTAAATGCTATCTCTTGACCAAATGGCCAAACAATCGCCTTGACGGAGAACTTTTGCAATATTTTCGTCGACGGGACTCTCTAATGGTTGTTGACTCCTGTATTATGTTCGGTGATCACATTGTTATTCCGAAGTTATTACGTCACAAGGTTCTCAAGCAGTTTCACAGTGGCCATCCTGGAATCAGTAAAATGAAATCTTTGGCTCGTAGCTATGCTTATTGGCCGTCAATGGACAAAGATATCGAGAATAAATGCCGTAACTGTTCATCATGTATTCAAGCCGCTAAAAATCCTTCGAAATGCGAACCTCAGTGTTGGCCTATGCCCGCGGGACCCTGGGTAAGACTTCACGCAGATTTTGCCGGTCCAATCCAAGGGACAATGTTTCTAATTATCGTAGATGCATTCACTAAATGGCCGGAAGTATACATCATGCCAAATTGTACAACGTCAGAAACGATCCGCAAGTTGTCTACCCTATTTAGCAGTTTCGGAGTACCAGAGACCTTAGTGACGGATAACGGCTCTCAGTTTGCCGCAGAATCGTTTAAACATTTCTGTAGAACAAACGGAATAAATCATCTTCGTTCTCCACCCTATCATCCACAATCAAACGGACAAGCAGAGCGCTTTGTGGACACTTTTAAACGAGCATTACTGAAAGGGGGAGGAGAAGGGACGACTGAGCAGGTGATCACAAAATTTCTAACATCATACAGATCCACCCCAAACCCAAATGTTCAAGACGGCAAATCTCCCGCGGAAGCCATGTTTGGAAGGCGTATTCGAACAGTCTTTGATGCCATGTTGCCATCCAAACTAGTGGATGAGCGTAGTCGCGACCCAAGTATCCGGAACTTCAGTATTGGCGACAAAGTCTACATTAAATCCTACATCGGGAAGAACCGATGGGAGCCGGGCGAAGTGGTGCAAAAACTGGGAAGAGTACTGTACAAAGTTCGAGGAGCTTTTGGGACATGTATACGTCACACAAATCAAATCCTTAAGGACAAAAGAACGGTGCAGACTGGAAGTAACCGGCCGACTTTCCCGTTAGATTTAATCTTAGACGCACCAATGCCACAAACGCCCAGGAACACTGAAAAGTCTTGGACAAGAAAGACGACAAGAATAATGGGACGCCGACGCAATTCAGTTATCAAACTACAAGTGAATCCCAGAAAGAAATCTTATTCGGGGGAGGTGTTGGGTCGGCTTCCAGAGAACTTCAACGGAGCCTCCAGAGGCCCACAAGGAGCCGAAGAGTCCTGGCCAATCTGAGTGTGATGGAACGTTCTAGAATTCCAACGTGGCGTGCTACTATTGGTCGGTAGCATAATGTGTTGTTATCGGATTGGCTGTAAAATGATGTTGATTTAACAGACGCCAAAATCTATAAATACCCATGATTTTCTGTACAAGAATGAACCTTGGAATAAAGTGCTTTCTCTCATTCTTGTGTCTTCTCTCTGGAGTTCAAGTCGCTGTGTAGTTCTAGACTGCGGGTTACCGAAATAGCTTAGGAACCGTATATAGCGTTCAACCTACACGACTTATCAGAAGTTGTCAACGCGTTCGACTACTTCACTCCTTATCCTTAGTTCAGGTGTTAACGCAGACCAGTCCTGAAGCAACAACTTGCATTTAGAGGGAGAGAAGCGCATTCCAAACATTCTGGCATTGTTGCTCAGTGCTACCAGAAGACTCTGCATTTTGTCAGCGTCTTCACCAAACAGGATTATGTCATCTGCGTATTCTAAGTCGATAAGTGGACCTCCTGGATGGAGATCAATACCCGAGAACTCAGTCGACGAGAAAGTTATTTCCATCAGTAGATCTATGATGAAGTTAAACAAAAATGGGGAAAGTGGACAGCCTTGACGGACACCACTTGAGGTTGCAAAAGTAAATGACAGTTCGCCATAAGCTCTGACTCGACTAGTAGTGTTCGAGTAAAGAGCCTTTACAAGGTTTATGTACTTCTGAGGTACGCCTTTCAATGACAGACACTGCCACCGAATCGGTACATTTAATAATAATAACTATTGTCTTGCTTTTCTTTAGGAATAAAATATCCATGTAGTCAATGTAACAAAAAGCTTTCTACGAAATATGATTTATATGTACACAAAAAAGTTATTCATGAAGGTGAGTAACGTTCGTGATAATATTGTTTTACTATAAAGTTGTATTGTATATCATTCTAAATGGATTAATTTAAACAAATTCGCTGTAACTGTTCGTCCTATTCCAATGGTAGAGTTAGACAAGACTGATCAATCTCACCATTCCTTGTTAACTTTCCTACTGATGATGTTCTAGAAACAGCTCTAATAGAATTAGTTGGTGGTGGTGTAGATCTGTTACTTAGACTTTGGGTATAAGGATGACATCGTTTTGAGATGCGATAATACACAAACTATGCAGACCTCACCCAATCAGTTAACACTTAATGTCTACCAGTACGGCATGTATCTTGGACCCTACAAATCCAAATTGCTTCTACAAGACTGACATAGACACCTATGCTTGCACTCACTATTTCCAGTAACCTATTAGAAGTAATTAAGAAGCTTGTGTAGATATGTGACTGCTAGTAATTGCGTCATAGTTGAGGCTAATCTTTTTAGTAGTACTCACTTTCACTCTTTTTTCTTAACAGCCCCACCTCTGTATTTGTAGGGCACATTCTACTTTTTGTACTAAATTGTACCAGATTTGTGTGCCTCATTAGATGAATAAAATCGAAGTAACATGATGAGATTGAAAATGAGTACTAAGATAAGAGGACGATATCAAGAAACCATTAATTAATCAGTGTAAGTAATTGTTACTTAGGTATAATATTTTAACTAATTATAGGAACGGATCGAAATTCTAATGGTTCTACACATGGTGCGTTCAATTTAAATTCGTGGTGGGTGAGGGTGGCAATAGTCACCCGATCCCATAGAAATGTTTTCATATTTATTTATTTATTTGAACACATAAATATTGGTACAAGAGGGCATCAAATATATATGCGCCACACAAAACAATGAGAACGGGAAGAGAAAAAAAAGGTATGGAGCGTGAAAGAAAAAAAAGAACAATAGTGACCAGATTAGTGTAAGGTAGTGTAATAATAATAATAATAATAATAATAATAATAATAATAATAATAATAATAATAATAATAATAATAATAATAATAATAATAATAGGGGAAAGGGAAACGTACAATCAGAAGAAATCCTTCAGTTAAGGAAGATACAACCACTTTTTATGAAGAAAGTAAAAGAAGGTTACAGCAGGATCGCCACTGGCTTCTATTCTGAGCCATATCTGATAACGTCTCTAGCCACTGTGTAGCACCATCTCTCAGACCCCAACCAGGGAGTCGTGAAGGACCAACAGAAGCCAGTCCTTTGCAACTTTCTTTCATGCCACGACACCATGTCATTCACTGACCACCTCTCCGCTTCTTCCAACCAGTCCCAGAGTCGGCAAATAATGCACAACGTGGAATTCTCTGGGACGACATTCGTAGAACATGTCCAAGCCACCGAAGTCGGTGTTTCAAGATGGTGACACCAATTGAATTGTCATCTCTGTGCCCGAACACACGATGCAGAACCTCTGCATTACTAACATGGTGTTGCCACTGGATGTCAGCAATCCTTTGGAGACAACGATGATCGAACACAGAGAGTTGTCTAACATCCTCAACTCGGAGAGGCCAGGTTTGACAAGCATAGAGCAAAACTGCTCTCACCGACGCGTTGTAGACCCAGCGTTTTACAACCAGACTGACACCACGAAGGTACCAAAGATGACCCAGATTGGTATAATCCACTCTGGCTTTCACTATTCGTGCATTGATCTCATCACTCACACCCCCACCAGCACTTATGCAGCTACCTAGGTACAGGAACTTCTCGACTACTTCCATCTGCTCACCATCCAGGGTGAGTACAGGATTAGAATCCTGCCAGTCTTTTATAAGTACTTTGCACTTCGAAGGTGCAAAGCACATACCATACCTACGGACACTGATTGTCAACTGATTAAGTGCGGATTGCATGCCTTGGGCATTATCACACAGTAAGACAATATCATCCGCATAATCAATGTCGAGAAGTCTTTCTCTAGTCAACAGATCCACACCGCCATTACTTACATCCATCAGAGCTGTTTCCAGAATGTCATCGATGGCAAAGTTGAAGAGGAATGGTGAGATTGGGCAACCCTGTCTGACCTGACTGCTCGAATGGAGCAGTGGAGAAAGGTGGTTGTATGCCCTCACTCTGCCTGAGGTGTTTGCATATAGGGCTTTTAGGATGTTAATAAACTTCTCAGGCACACCCTTCTTCAATAGACAATCCCAGAGAACAGTCCTATCCAATGAGTCGAAGGCAGCCCTGATGTCAAGAAATACTACGATTGTTGGCCTTTGATAAGTATGGCGGTGTTCTAACATTTGGCGGAGGGTGAAGATATGATCAATACATCTTCGACCAGAACGAAACCCAGCCTGCTACTCGCGAGTCAGTCTTTCTCAGGTTTTAAACAACCTACGAAGTATGACGGAAGCCAATAGCTTGGACGCAATCGGAAGTAGACTTATCCCTCGATAGTTGTTACAGGAACGACGTGAACCCTTTTTAAAGATAGGGACAACTATCGAATCATTCCATGACGTTGGTATACTCTCTAGCTCCCAGACCTTTGTAAACAACGTCGTCGGTTTCTTAGTCAGAAAGACACTACTATCTTTAAAAAGAGCCGGAGGTAAGTCATCTTGGCCAGGTGATTTGTAACGCTTTAAAAGTTGGAGTTCCTTGCGGACTTCCGCCTCATTTGGTGGATCAGTCGTCACAGGCCATGGAGGGCAGGTCAGTCTGACCGATGTTGCCAGAACAGCAGGCCAGTTGAACTGCACTTCGAAGAATTCTACCCATCGTCCAAGACGTCGATGGATGTTAGTGACTGGCATCCCGTCATTCTCGTAGATTGTTTCGCTCACATCAGACTTCTTGCTGCCAGTGGCTCGGATGAGTTGGAAGAGCTTCCGGTAGTTACCAGATGCAGGTGCTGCTTCCAGCTCATTAGCACGCTTCGACCACCAGGCTTCTCGGTGCTTACGCAAGCTTTGCTCAATTTCCTTACGTAACACCCTTCGTTTATGGTCAAACTCACGGTCGCCCGGAGAAGACCGACGGGCTTCATTGAGTTGTAAGGAGCCCGAAGAAACCCAATGTTTATAAGCGGGACGTTTCGCGAAGCCGCAAGCGGCTTTACTCGCCATTTCCATGGCGTCACGCAATCAATGCTCATCTATACTTTTTGGTGGAATGGTAGCTAGCCTAGAAGCTAGCTCGGTTCGGTACTTACTAGCAACAGAAGTTGCAACCAGCTTGCTGACATCAATCCTTTGGTGGCGGTCACTTCGTTGGCCACTGAAAAGTAAGGTCAGATTGGTGCAGACCAAGGCATGATCAGAGTCCAGATAGGTACTCCAAAAGGAGTGACGGTCTTGTACACAACCACGCCAGCGGTAGCTGATCGCGATGTGATCAATCTGAGTCCAGGCTTGAGATGCAGAGGGAGGACGCCAGGTGGCACGTCGGCGATGACTGTGCCGAAAGTTAGTGCTAACCAGAAACAGGTTGTGGTTTGCACAAAATATTGATAGACGGTTCACGTTATCTGTCCTGCGGCCAACAAGTCCCCATCGGCCACCTAAACGATTCTCTTCTGTGCCTAGACGCCCGACCTGAGTATTCAAGTCTCCGGCTAGTACTACAATATCTGTCGAACGCATTTTCTGTAGAAGAACAGATAACTGGTGGTAGAATTCATCCTTAATTGCATCCGGGCTGCAATCTGTCGGGGGATAGGCGGACATGACGAAAAGACATCGTTTCTCACACCGATTTCTTCTCACTTTGATGGAACTTTCTAATCTAACAGCATATAACCGACTGTTAATGGGGATCCAATCGGTTAGTGCTGCCTAAGCTCTAGCACTCAGTGCGAAACTAACGCCAGCAAGACTAGACGAAGATGCCACAGGATCCCCGGATAAGCGCACGTAAAACAAGCTTTTTGAAGCGACAGATGGAGAGCGAATTTGTAGTACTTCACCAGAGTCTTGAATACGGGTCTCGGATAGACAGCAGACATCGATATTAAGACTTTCCAAAGACATAGCCAGCCCTATCTCTTGTCCAACCTGCATAAGTGCGCGAACGTTGAAGGCAGCCATTTTGAATGGTGCTCGTGGTTTCAGAAAAACTGCCTCAGTACTCATATTCAGTGGTAACATACAATTTTCAACCGGACAGTGACTCGAGAACGTTTAGATACAGTCGAATTTCCACCAAAGACGAGCCGTTGTATAAGTATAAAAGAGGGTGAATAATGTGGTAAATAATAATAATAGTAATAATAATCATTTGAATCATTTGATTGTTATTCGAAGCGTGAAAAGTAGTTTCCATAGATATAGAGAGTTCATCATTTGCGTGTGGGCTGCGATACTGCCCGGGTGCCCAGAACGAAGCAGGTGGTTATCTTAGGAGGCCGCACCCCGAGCCTTTAACATGGAGGTCTGATCCACAAGGCAGTGGAGCATCGTAAGAAGATGCAGTCCGATGGTAGCCGGTGACCAACGATTGGTTCATACGCCATTTGTTCCTTCAGGATACTGGAGGCCATGTGTACCATTCGTTTGGAATCAGGGCTTCCCAACTCCCCTAGATGGACTCTCCATGTCCACCAACCCAGATAAAGCGCCGTAGTCTCACTCTTCGTCCTTTCAATTTCGTATACAACACCCCTTCGCGAGAAGACGGCTTGTAGGACTTCCGTGGTAGTGGCTGTATACACGTGGCCATATGAGAATTTCGAGAGGGAGAGCGAACTCTGCTCACTGTCGGCCATACCACGGCATTTAGGGGCAAATAATAGTGGCTAGCAGTGGAATTCAGGACGCAAGTCTCGTCCTATTTTGGACTCGTCAGCTGGATTTACATGCATCCCAGAGTTAGTGTTCATTCCGGGACTCGAACCCAGTACAGTTCGCTTCAAACGCCATCACGTTATCCACTCGGCTACTGAGTCTTTATAGGCAAATAATGCAAAGAAACGTTTTCATACAACCATCTGTTTGTATTTTCTCTCAGGCATAGACTGGTCACTGCAACCATGTGGTAGGGTACTTATACTGAAATGAGAGATCTAAAAGCGGAGGTTCGTGGCTTTAAACATATTTGTTCATATTGTTTTGAAATCTGTGGTTGTCGGTATTCTATGTGATCCCTAAACTTCTTAAACAATTCGTCCTGGTAACCGTTAATAGATAATGTCCCCAACGGTGTATAAACTAGAAGGCGAGTACTAAGTGTTGATTGCATGTTTTATTGCACGACGCGCAAATCACTAAAATCACAGGCACACGAAACAAGAATAAAAGACTAATGCCAAAAAGCAAGTGCGCGAGTGAAAATGAATAGGATTAAAATGTACATATACATACATAGGGAAATGAGTGAATTGTCGAATCAATTAAGCGGCTAACATTAAAACTAGCAGAATGAATATGTGCGTAAGCGGTAGGCAATGCTCAAGCATATATGTTCATGCAAGCGCAACAATAATAAAGGTACAATGATATAGATAAGTTGTTATTGTACGAATGATTGTCCATTATAAATAAGTTAACAAAAGGGCCTAATCAAATTAAATGTGAACAAACTCGACTGCACGTATGTTGCTTTAAGTCTACTACACGAACGGTTGTTCATTCACTCATTATTTCTCTTGTATGTTTATATTATTTGTGTTGCAAATTACTGATACAAATATTTAAACATTGGTGTTAAATATGTATCGGTACATTTAGTGATATGATTAATTGTTTTTCTTTCATTAGGAATAAGACATCCTTGTAATCAGTGTGATAGAAGGTTTGGATCTAAATCCAAATTAAATGATCACATAAAAGTTGCTCATGAAGGTAAGTTAGGTTATGATGATGATTGATGATAGTGACGGTCTACTTTGAAATTGTGTTATGTACCTTCTAATAACATCATTATTGAATGTGAACTTTTTATTTACATCATTTTTTTATATATCTCTTCTACTGCAAATAATTAAGCAACTTTGATTGATATTATTGCACAGAAAGTTTTGCTTGAGTAGCTGTGGATGTAGGTATAACACTCAGATTTCACTGATTAGTTCACACATTCAAGTTCCGTAACTCCTTAGATATAAGCACTTAATAAGGGGCTAAAATTCATTTTATGACAAGATGTACATTAAATAAGCGTGTTACTGCTGTTCATCAAGGTATGATTGATTAAAATATCATTTAGTAGTTTCCCTATAATGACTTTTTAAAATAAAAATCCAAATCTGATTTACATTATTCAACTGATTCAGATACACAGCAAAACACTGAATATTAAGTAGGATTTCCGATGGTTTTGAGGTCCCAATGCTCTTTTTTTTCCATCGAATATGTCAACTGTTTTTTTGTTTCTGAGTCAATACATATGATCGTCTCATTATCTGACTTAAAATTTGTTTTCAGTTAACTTTGGGCATATGTAGTACTCAGAATATGTGAGATGATTTGTTTTCATTTGTTCTTGTTCCTACAGGTATAACTTTTCCATGCGATGAGTGTAGTAAAATATTCTCTTCGAATGGCGCTCTTTGCAGACATCTACAATCCGTTCATCAAGGTAATGATTTCTTTGACAAAGCATTTTTATTTGTAAGAATTTTTCAGGTTTTAATGTGCTAATCTTACCCTGTTCGTTAATTCTGTTTGTATTTTACTACATTTTTTCGACACTTTTACTGTATAAACCAAGGATGTATTCAATAATACAATAAACCAACGTTATGACTTCGTTCACCATCAGTGACCAAAGTGTGTTCATGCGCCATTGATTGTTCGAAGATTCTAGTGTCGATTTGTGCCCCTGGTTCGAAATAATAGTGTCTCTGTTGCCTCAGATAAACTGTTTGTTTTTATCGGCTCGGTTTCGTCGTTGGACATCCAGTGTCTTCCTCTAATAAAAGTACTACCAACGTATGAAGATCGTTTTTGCAGTTGTCGAGGTTGAGTCACTTTATTATTCAAGTTGCTTGGAGATAATAGGTGTTTAGATACCGGTTCTACTTTCACTTAAGTATCCTACCCACTGATCTAATTTAGATAGAATAAATAATTTTTCTATTTGCTTGTCGTATATTGTCTCATTCTTGTTATATACATCTTTGATTAGTGTAGCTCGGAACACGATTGGCGGGTAACTTCGGATATGTACTTCTAAAGGCAGAGCTCTGACTTGGTCGAAAATACGTTGTCTTATAAAATGTTTTGATAGTGAACATCAATGCTAGTGCTCTCTTTCCTACTTACTCATAGTTCTCGGCATTTGTGATCGAGAGATCTGTACGGATTATAGCTTCACATAATCCTCCTGCTAGAATGTACGAGAATACAGCACCCGAGCCATTGCTTAGTGCCAGTCACATCAATTATTTCTTGTTTTGTGTTACAATATGTCACTAATAATTTCGAACTGGATATTTCCTTGAGGTTATTTTTAATATTTTACCACAACATTAATCTTCAAGTACAGACGAATCCAGTGACAGACTGAACAAATTGAAAGATTGTAGAGCTTCCTGAAGTATTTAAAGATGATGTCTGGTCTATTGCACAGCAACTCAAATGACTGTAGAATTAAAACTGGATACCATATCAATTTTTTCTCCTGAAGAAAACAGTATCTTACGTCATCCTTTAAGTAACTGATGACTAGAAAAAGACCGAGTTATGTCACATCTGTTATATCCTCATTAATAAACCCCAATTGTGGTTATAAAAAGGGAAATTGGTGGAAATCGCATACATACTGATATTTGAACTAGACTGACTGCCGCAGCCCCGATCTTCTTACTATCAACTCAAACCATATAGTATTTGCATTCAACTAATTATTAAACGGAATTCAACTTCACCAACATCTAACAAATTATGGACGCCATGATAATAATCGCGGTACATTCGGTCGCTCAGTTACAATAACACACTCTTTAAGAAAAGCATACAGTTATTATTTACTGTTATAACTTGTCATTTGAATGCTTATTGTCTTGGCTCTTTTAATGCTACTTTTTGTATCTGGTCGTCGCTGATTGTTGTGTCGGAAACGCTTATCACTTATAATCGGAATGAGGGACCTCTGCAATTCCCACGATACAAACGTAAGAACACAAAGACTGGTATAAGTGATGATTTATTAACCCAAAACACTATGGCAACGACAACTCTAGTAGAAAATACACTCATTTATATATTGATTGTACACCCATTTTGATTGATAATTAGGATGAAATCACATATACGGAAAATACTTAGAGTTATAACAAATCACAGACTGAGCATAGTTCATGCCAATGAAATACAAGAATATCGCATATTATACAGAATAAAATATCATATCAGACAAAAAAATATTTGCCGACTCTGGGACTGGTTGGAAAAAGCGGAGAGGTAGTCAGTGTATAACATGGTATCGGAGTATGAAAGAAAACCTGCAAAGGGCTGGCATGTGTTGGTCCTTCACGACTCCCTGGTTGGGGTCTGAGAGATGGTGCTACACAGTGGCTAGAGACGTTATCAGATATGGCTCAGAATAGAAGCCAGTGGCGATCCTGCTGTAACCTTCTTTTACTTTCTTCATAAAAAGTGGTTGTATCTTCCTTAACTGAAGGATTTCTTCTGATTGTACGTTTCTGTTTCCCTTATTATTATTATTATTATTATTATTATTATTATTATTATTATTATTATTATTATTATTATTGTTATTATTGTTATTATTATTATTATTATTATTATTATTATTATTATTATTATTATTATTATTATTATTATTATTATTATTATTATTATTATTATTACTAAGCTACCTTACGCTACTTTGTTCGTTATTGCTCTTGTTTTACGCTCCTTACCTTTTTTCCCCTTCTTCTCTTCCCATTCTCATTGTTTTGTGTGGCGCATATATATTTGATGCCCTCTTGTACCAATATTTATGTGCTCAAATAAATAAATAACTAACTAAATAAATAAACCCAACCCGTATTTGGCTTCTCATTATTGCAGTCGCACAAACGGAAATAGCTTAATTAATATACGGATTTAACTGGAAAATTTATGTTCAGCGCATCTTCGTACGATCAAACCGAAATCAGATACTGTGCTACAAAAATGGTAAGCTCGACGTGATAGTAGGGCTTATTCATTCAACAAAAGAATGGATGGATTTCGGTTTGGTTTGTCATTGAAAAGGTGAAAAACGACGATTGCTGTGTACAAATGCGACGAATGAACATTAGTTGCATAACAAGAGAATAAGTCCCTACTCCCGTGGGTATGACTTCAAATTTATGTCTGATAGCGTTGCCGACGTTGATGTATTTCCGACCTTTCTATTATAAAAGTGCGGGAGATTCGCTCGACTAGAATGGCGATTCATGTACATGCGCGTGTCGTTAGACCTCCAATTAGTGGGTTTCAGGTTGTTCGATGTACGGGCAGCTAGTTAATACGTCAGTTATATATGACCTGTGATAACCATATATCGCCAATAATGAACGGTAATGAATAAGCCATTGACTCAACCACCATCTTTTGAGAAGACAAGAGTCAGTTTGCATTTTTCACTGTCTCAGTCGATGGATGTTTTCTGAAAAATACCTAGATATTGTTACGGTGCTCTTAAAAATCCACTATTCAGTGTTCGAATAATATACCGCCGGAGTTGATGGTACACACATTTTGAAAATTCAAACTAGCATTCGTTTTAAGATTGTTTTTCTGTTAATCCAGTTCCGAATTTTGATAAATGATGCATTTCCCATCTTGCCACTCCTTTGTGGATTAGATCGTCAGATCGCGGGCTTGGAGAAATATCTCTTATGAACACTACCTGATTGTGTTTAAGTATCCGGTTAGTATATCGATACCTCATGAAAATATGAAAATGGAGATAGTAAAATTATTAATTATCAACATCACTAATTCTTTCCCGAAACGGTTATGTTTATTTATGTGTGCTGTAAACCTCCTATTAGATTACCTTATTTACTGATTCTTTTTTATTTGTTTAAGTACATTTACGTATTTTAATAATTTTGTTTTCACTAGGAATAAAATATCCATGTAATCAGTGTGATAGATTATATACATCTAGATTTCATTTAAATGAACATCTGAGAGCTAATCATAAAGGTAAGTTATGTTAGTGTGATATTAGTGTTCTTCAATGAAATCGTATACTACATGTATTCCTATCAAATCATCATTGAGGATACACTTTTCATCCACGTCATTATTACTTGTTTCATTAACTTTCAATAATTTGATTACTTTAACCGACCTTACTTCCTTATAAGGGGTGTCTCAATATGTTAACCATTCTGATTGTCTATCGTCTGATGTGCTATGACACATATCAAGTTATTGATGTTATAATAGGATAGAAGTTCTCTGGGTATCATAGTAATCATGGCTTTTGTCAAACACTACCCTTGATCCAGTAATTTTTATTTCTAGTCTTATTTAGTTTGAAATGTTGCTTCATAATCATCCAATTTTCTTATACCTAATGTGCTAAAACTTTGCTGGTCATTGCGTCTCACAGAACATTCGGAAAGCCATCACATTCCGTTGTATCCTGAATTAAATGAAATAAATAATTTGTATTAGTATTGTATTCAGACTCAGTGTTCTGGAAGTGTTATTTGTCTCGAAACTTAAAGGCATTAAATTCTATTTGTTTCAGGAGTTGTAGGTATCCAAGTGTGCATATATAGGTCAATTTTCATTGTGTATGTCAAGAAATACTATTAATAAACATTTAACAGTCAAATTTAATTGGCGTTGTTGGTTGCTTGTATCTTCCCATCATTGTGTAGGACTGCAATTGATCAGTCTCTTGTTGGCATATGTGCATCCTGTGCAGGTTTCCTCGATATTGCCTTAAGTCACAAGCTTTATGAGCAATGATCGATGGTAGTTAGCAGTGGAATCCAGGACGCGCATTTCGTATGTCCAACCACCGACTGCCTTGACCTACGATGTTTTTTAGTGTAAGGGTAGGTTGGAATTAGGCTAGGGGCGGCCAGGCCAAAAAATGGCACAAATCCCAGGTTAGGATCCGCGAAACGATAGCCACCGATCGTTAGAGACCCCAAATGACATGGCTGAAAATCGTCTGCAATGGCGCAGGTGCATCCACTCTTTGTATTCTCCCAACTTCCGATTTGAATTCTTCGTGTCCCTTTTTTTCTTTTTCCAAACTTATTTCACTAGATTATACTCCTTGAATAACATCTTCAAACCCTAATCTTTTCGATTACTGCTTATACTTTTACTACCTCTACTACTACGTGATTTGAATCGACAATTGTATCTCTGTGCTAATGTGGTATGGCAACTCGAACTGATGTGCGTACGTACGAAGTTCTGCGTAGTCACTAACTGATTGATTTTGTCCTATTTCGGTCTCGTCAGCTGGATGTACCTGCGTCGCAGAGTCATATAGTGATAATTTATTACCATCCACTAGTATATTTACTGATTTTGTTTAAAGAATTGTTTTACTTTTTTTAATGACATAGGTTTTATTAATTCGTATTTTTTTTTTAATTAGGTGTAAAATTTACCTGTGATCTGTGTAACAAAGAATTTGCTTATAAAGTAGGCTTAGATGAACATAATAAGAATATTCATGAAGGTTAGTCTATTATTGTGCTTCAAATTTTTATGTATGTACTTTGCTGAACTTATAATGATGATTCACATATAATTCTTCTATGGCTTCTGCAGAATCTAACTTTTTAACATATGTAGATATGAATCTTCTGGTACGGAAACTGTTTGAGTCGGTTTAGTCATCTGGATAGAATCTCAGCCTAAACAGAAATACTGTGATAAATACTTGAAAGATTGATAATGATTAAGAATATTCTTTTCAGGTCTTGAAGTTATAGAATTTTGAATAATATTTTGCTGTTTTATGTGAATAAACTGTTACTGAAAGATACATTTGTTGTGACTTTATGTCCGGCTTTTTATCACGCGATTTATTCACCAATCAAAATACGACTTCTACAATCTTAGCACTGTGCCAAATCAATGACGTTGGACCGGTATGAGCAGCCTAGCGTCCTTACCGGTCCTATGTCCGCTTAGCCCGTCCACTTGAGTCCGGAATTCCAATACCAACTTCCACTATGTGAATCATACATTTCAAACATACTGTGTTTATATATCAAACAAACAGACCGTAACGCTCCATAAAATAGGAAGTAACATTTGTACATTTGTATTTTAATGAAAATGACTAGTGTTGGTCGTCAGTGTTTTCTACAAGTAGAATGTGGGTTGTAGCTCTTGCTATCCTGTTGGAGTACTTAAATTTCAATTGCTGTGATTGTTTTCACTCTTCATACCATAATTATAGTCCAAGGTCTTCTATGGGAATGACTGTTCTTTTTTTCTTATCCTTTTCTCTTTTGAAATGGTTATGTATATCTAGGATGATATGTATACTTCCAACCCTTAGTACATAACGACATTTATTCATTTTTAATTTGTTTCATAAAAATTTATCAGTATTCATACTTGCTTTTCTTCATTAGGAATAAAGTATCCATGTGACCAATGTAGTAAAACGTTTTCGTCCAAATGTATGTTAAATAACCACGTGAAAGCTATTCATAAAGGTATGTTTTGGTTTTGAAAGAGACGTTCTACTGTGAAACTGGTACGCCTCATACATTCTCACCAGAAAAATTATTTCGTGTATGCTTTTCATTTGAATTGTTTTAACATGTTTCTTCGGTTTCTAATGTTTCAATCAGTTAGTAGTCAGTTTTAAATACTCTGCTTGGAATGTATTACTTATATACATGGGTTTCAGTTGTCACGCCACATTTAGCGCTGCACGACAAGACTATCTTGACCAATTCTAATGTAGTGGTAGTAGTCAAAATGATAAATAATAGTTGAAAAGTTTTAGGTGTGGAATAAAAAAGTATTTAAAGACTTCAGGACTTTAGAATCTAAGGTTAAGAAGAAATGTGAAAACACTTGAGCCACTATGATCGATTCTAATCCATGTTTGCGCAGCCACTGGTTTCGGTAATCGTTCATACCACGAGCAAATAGTCTACACCTACGTACATGGCTTAATCCATTTGGTAATGACCTCATGGGCTGATTCGTTTACGTTTGTCATGCCATATCTTTCAGCCTAATTTTACACCGTGCAACATCGTCCATCGAAGTAGGAGCTTTCGAGCATACATAATACATGTCTCGACCACCTGAGTTAATGGAAACTAATTACCCTGAATATTGATATCGAATTTATATAAGTATATATTTTGTTAATTATTGTTTTTTTTTCTCTCATTAGGAATAAAACTTACTTGTAAGCAATGCGATAGAAAGTTTAATTGTAAATCCAATCTAAACTTACATGTAAAGTCTGCTCATGAAGGTAATTTCTATTGGTTGGTTATAATTATATTCTATCATGAAATCGTATTTTACGCGCAGTTTCATCAAATATTGATCATACACATCACATTGAAATCACTCTTCATGTTTCTTGGACTTTTAATTATTTGGCAACTCATATTGATAATATTCCACTGGAAGCTCTGTTTCACGAAAGATAAATTGGTGTTATAGTAGGTTAAAAAACACGAATTTCAACTAATAAATCGTAGATCGTAATCCTCTCTCACCTTTCATTTGGTCACATATTGTGAAGCTCGAACTCTTAGGAATCACTTATTTTTTAGTTGGATTATCATTTTAAATAGTTAAACATATTTTACCAAATCTCAGCTTTCTCGGTTCTTATAGGTATATTTTTCCAATGTGATGAATGTGATAAGAAGTTCACTGCGAAATGTCCACTAAATAAACACATACAATCAATTCATCAAGGTATAGTCTTTTTTTACAATCACACAATTACATTTACGTGTATTTTTGTGGATTTTAATATGCCTATACACCCTGTTCACTAATCCCATTTTTATTTCACTCTGTTTTTTTTATTGACGTTTTCTTACTATAAGAAAAGTACGAGTAATTAAATTTTCTAAAGGTATGAACTACATGATTATAAGATAATGGGAAATGAGCTTGTTCAATAAGGAGGGATTCTTTTGAAATTTGTTAGAATGTATTGATAAATCAAGGTATTCATATTTTTACTAGTATATTAACACTATTGGTTTGTGGCTAGTTGTATTACTCGATCGTATAAATTGAAGTATGTTGTTTCTTCTGTAAGGATCCTTAAAGTTTGTAATCCAAAGTGTCTAATCGATGATGGATTATAATGGCTTTATGATTCAGTTTACCATGGTAACGAGTGATTGAGTAAAGTCGTATTCCACTGATTGTTCTATTGCTTTTCACTAATAGATCTAAGTTACTTTTTAATTTGTGGCAAGCCCATTTGACTACTGTATCATTTATCTAGTCATTGTAACTCAGACTCAATTCACTAATGTTAATTTCGGTGTGTATGATCGAAAGTATGTCTGTACATTAACGCTTAAGCTATCTTCCCATTGGTTTCAATGTTCAGATAATCGATAATCTATCCACACCCGATTAACTCTCAAATATATATGGATTTTTAACAGACTCACACACTCTGTTTCATCGTGTGATTGCTCACCGTACGCTTGTGGATTATTATTATTCATTATCAATAAACTATCCCTATAACTGGTGTTCAGGCTTTTTAACAATCTCGAGTAAATTCGCAATCCTACTAGGAGATTAAGCCTACCTAAAATACTCATTTACAGGATATTATTATTTGGAGTCAGACATTGAGGACATCATCCATAACATTTTGGTGAACCGCTTTTAGGACACACACCATTCCTCTACGAATTCTGCTGCACACTCTCCAAGCGTATCTTAAAGAACTTCACATTGGAATTACTATTACAATTATTAACAATTCATTAACAGTCATAATAAATCCATCCATAACATTGTTCCTTTGGAATTATTGCTGTATATTCGCATATTTAAACCAAAAGTGACAGTTTTTCTTTTTGGTGAGTCTTATATATATTTCTTGTTGTTATTTTTGATTTCTCTTCATATTGTATATTACAATCCTCGGCTTATTATTACTATTGCTTCTTCGTATCATGGCACTTGATAATTCGCTAAGCCTTTCATATAAATCTATTTCCGTGGGTGCCATCTCTGTACCTTTACCTATTTTTAATCCACGAAAGGCTGAACTCTGGTTTGCTCACTTAGAAAGCTTTTTTGTAGCAAACAAAATCACAAACCAGAGTACGAAATTTAGTTACGCGAATTCACTGCTGCCAGATGACGTCATTGATTAAGTGCCGGATGTCATTTTTAAGCCGGATCCTAACTCACCATTCGATTGTCTAAAAAGAGAGGTCATTCGTGTCACATCTCTCACCGACCAACAGACAATTGATCAACTTTTGGCCAACGTGGAGCTAGGTGACAATACACCGTCACAGTTAAAACGCCACATGACAAACTTATTAGGAAATCGTACAGTAGACAAACGTCTACTATATCAATTGTGGCTCAGACGTCTCCCTCAAAACATTCAACAGATACTAGCAATTGGAGACGAAGACGTTGATTTTGATAGACTAGCAGACATAGCCGACAGAATTTACGAACGGTCCAAGACTCACCTTGTATCTCAAATCCAATCAAGCTCAGCTGACGAGATCGCCGAGTTACGACGATCAGTTGATACCCTTACGAAACAGATAGTTCAGATCCAATTATTGAATGCCTCCCACAGCAAGCGTAGAGGAACATCCACAAGCCGTAGACGACGTAGTCCAAGCACTACTAGACACAACATTTGTTGGTACCATAGAACATATGGCAAACAAGCTAGAAAATGTACTCCGCCTTGTAACTTTGCAAGCACACAGAAAAAGGAACGTCAAGACCGTAGGTTAATGACGACTGCACTCACTGACCACAACTCTCAAGACAGTCGTCTATTATATGTTACAGACAAAAGAACCGGCACACAGTTTTTAGTCGACACTGGGGCAGAGGTTAGTGTAGTACCACCTACTGCACTCGAGAAAAACACACCTGACCCCAAACTAAAACTACAAGCTGCAAACAGGTCTGACATCAAGACGTACGGCAAAAGGCGGTTGCAATTAAATTTCGGTCCTAAATCTAATTTTTCCTGGAGTTTCATCATAGCGGACGTCCTCGTTCCTATAATCGGCATTGATTTTCTGCAATTCCACAAAATACTGGTAGACGTCAGAAATAGGAAACTTGTCCTTGCCGAACAGAGTAAGGAAATTAGAGGAATTATATCAAATGAGACTTCCATACATTTATTAGTTAAACCTCATGATGAGAACGACAAATACGTCAATTTACTTAATCAGTTTCCAGATTTATTACGACCGAGTTTCAAACACGACGAACCGACGCATACCGTCGTACACCACATCAAGACAGAGGGTCCACCAGTGTTTGCACGTCCAAGACGCCTTGATCCCTCTCGTTTGGCTATCTCAAAGAACGAATTCAACAAAATGATTGAGTTGGGCATCATACGCCCCTCCGATAGTCCGTGGGCATCACCGCTCCATATGGTACCTAAGAAAAACTTCCGAAGTTAGACCGTGCGGTGACTATAGAGCTCTCAACAGCCGGACCATACCAGATAGATATCCTCTCCCACATCTGCATGACTTCACTCATAGCCTATCTGACGTGTCGATCTTTTCAAAAATTGATCTCGTCCGTGCTTACCATCACATTCCAATTCATCCAGATGATGTTCCTAAAACAGCCATTACTACCCCCCTTTGGACTATACGAATTCGTCCGTATGCCTTTCGGATTAAGGAATGCTGCACAAAGTTTCCAGCGTTTTATTGACCAAGTGGTACGGGGCTTATTGTTTGTGTATGCTTACATAGATGACCTACTTATAGCAAGCAAAGATGAAAATGAACATCTAACTCATCTGAAAATGCTTTTTGAGAAGGTAAACGAGTATGGGTTAGCGGTCAATCCTGACAAATGTGAGTTCGGAAAACAATCCCTCACCTTTTTAGGTCACGTACTTGATAAGCAAGGCATTAAACCAGTTCCTGAGGAAACACAAGCTATCAAAAATTATCCTTTGCCTGATTCATTCAAGAAACTACGACGTTTCCTTGGGATGATCAACTTTTACAGACGTTTTATCCCTAAATGTGCAGACTTAGCAAAACCACTAACTGATTTATTAAGGGGACGAGCTAAATCATTAGCAATGACACCGCAAGCAATTCAAGTATATGATCAGTTGAAAAGCGCTTTAAGCACAGAAGCATTACTTGCACGACGAAAGGTTGATGCACCTTTAGCAATAATGACCGATGCTTCTAACGTAGCAGTAGGTGCTGTACTTCAGCAACGTGTCAATGAACAATGGCAACCCCTTGCATTTTTCTCAAAAAAGCTAAACGCAACGCAAACAAAATATAGCACATTCGGTAGAGAACTGTTGGCTTTCTACTTAGCCATCAAACACTTTCGCTACATGTTAGAAGGCAATTGTTTCACGATATATACTGATCGCAAACCCCTAACTAAGTCCTTGATGCACAATCATGATAAATATAGTCCGCGCGAAATTCGTCAACTAGAATTCATTTCACAATTTGCAGTTGATATACGCTATATTAAAGGCAATGCAAATGAGGCAGCAGATGCACTATCGAGATTAAATATCAATACCTTCTCGATCCCTGATATAGACTATCAAGAAATGGCAAAGCATCAAAAGCTCAATACGGAGCTACAAAAGCTTTTGCAGTCTAAGGAAACGAAATTATTATTCCAAAACATCCCCATAAACAACAAGGACACCTTAACTTGTGATACCTCAACAGGTAAAACTCGCCCTTTTGTACCTTTCGGTATGAGACGAAATATTTTTGAGAAATTACACAATATATCTCATCCAGGTATAAAAGCCACTGTAAAGCTTGTCACAGATAGATTTGTATGGCCAAAAATAAACACAGACGTACGAAAATGGTCACGGGAATGCGTTCAATGCCAAAAGTCAAAAGTACATAGGCACATCATATCTGCTACCGGAATTTTTCCCGCCGCTAGTGCTAGGTTCGACCATATTCCTATCGACATTGTTGGACCGTTACCAATTTCTAATGGTTACACACATATACTAACATGTATAGATAGATTTACGAGATGGCCCATAGCTGTTCCGTTAAAAGACACGTCAGCATCAACAGTGGCGAAGAAGCTGGTGAAACACTGGATTACAAACTTCGGTGTCCCTACAACAATTACGACCGACCGTGGAACGCAATTCGAAAGCAAACTATTTCAGCAACTTACAGATACTTTCGGTATAAAGAGAATTAGAACCACTGCTTATCATCCGTCTGCTAATGGAATGATAGAAAGATTCCATAGACAGTTAAAAGCCTCTTTGACGGCCGCGCGAGGAGATTACAAATGGGATATCAAGCTTCCCTTGATACTATTAGGCATTCGCTCAACCATCAAACAAGACCTCGGTTGTTGTGCTGCTGAGTTGGTTTATGGAACAACATTACGTTTGCCTGGTGAATTTTTTGACTGTGCAACAGATATTCCAGCAGATATAACCAACTACGTACAACAATTAAAACAGCAGATGGAATCCATTAGGTCCGTTAAACCACGAACCCAAAAGGTGAAATCATTCGTACCCAACGAATTAGACAAATGCTCACATGTATTCGTCAGAAATGATAGAGTACGACAGCCGTTACAGACTCCTTACGACGGCCCTTTTAAAATCATCCGAAAGGACGCTAAAACTGTTACAGTGGAAAGAGCAGGTAAACATGATACAGTTAGCATCGACAGAGTAAAACCAGCATTTTTAGAGAACACTGAAAAACAGACAACTGTAAAACCGTCTAAACCTGCAGCAGAGCAAGCACCATTCAAACTACCTGCAACAAGCAACACTTCAAATCAAAGTTCAGCAGCAGCACAAACTACAACAAGATCAGGAAGAAAAGTACATTGGCCAGATAGGTATGTAGCAACCACTATATTTATCTAGACCAAATCCTGAGAATACTCTTATAACATATAAAAATCCTACTTTATTTTGACTACTTTTTTTTTATTGGCCCCACGGATCATCATTATGCTTACATTTTAACTTTATACAATTCATTAATGTTAAATATACACTTGTATTATACGATATGAAACGTTTCAACCCACAAGCTGTTATTACAATTTTACGCTTACTCATCATATTGAGTTGTACTTTCATTTTAAAAACAGTTCCGTTCTTTATCTCTTTGTCGAACATAGATGTTAATCCAATTTTTTTGGTACATAAAAACATCAATGTTCTGGATGGGAGCTTATGTGGCAAGCCCATTTGACTACTGTATCATTTATCTAGTCATTGTAACTCAGACTCAATTCACTAATGTTAATTTCGGTGTGTATGATCGAAAGTATGTCTGTACATTAACGCTTAAGCTATCTTCCCATTGGTTTCAATGTTCAGATAATCGATAATCTATCCACACCCGATTAACTCTCAAATATATATGGATTTTTAACAGACTCACACACTCTGTTTCATCGTGTGATTGCTCACCGTACGCTTGTGGATTATTATTATTCATTATCAATAAACTATCCCTATAACTGGTGTTCAGGCTTTTTAATAATCTCGAGTAAATTCGCAATCCTACTAGGAGATTAAGCCTACCTAAAATACTCATTTACAGGATATTATTATTTGGAGTCAGATATTGAGGACATCATCCATAACAAATTACAAATGATTGAGATTCCTCTAATGCGACCGGTTTCCATCGAGCAGTTCATTAATGCGGTAGCTGACACACAACACTTCAATAATAGTCGGTAAAATCGAAGGAACGAAAGAATAAGATTGGAGTGATGAAAGTTATATACATCAATCATGTTTCCAATTTACTTTTCAGATTAAGATTTATTTTTTATTTTGAAGTGAAAAATGATGATCCATAAATGGTGTTGTCACATGCCAGTTTGTTTGTTTATTTAACGTCTCATGGTATTGAATCTCAACTTGAATTCTGCACAATAAACCGATGGTTTAAAATATTGATTTCTAGTTGGGCCACTCCATATCATAGGCGTTGAACGAAATGTGGTTGTTGGAACGTTCTTGGATTACGTAAACATTTACTTCTTCCCTGAGTTACACTATTGATTTGTATAATATGATTATGTCTTTGAAAATTAATAAAATATGTGTTATATTATGATAAGCTGAGCATCGTACATTTTCCATCTGAACTGATATGTGTTGTTCTGTTGACTAACCCTCTCAGGAAACTTTTGCACCATTATTTACTTTAATATGTCTATACTGCCTATAGTTTTGTTCCTTTAGATAAAAAAGCTTCCAAAAGCTAATACCTGAAAGTAATTATTAGTCACCCTCTTTATGTATCTTTTCAGTTGGCTTTCTGATTGACCGAAACCAATTGATTTTAACCTATGTTTACCTCGACTCGCTCGCTTCAATAGCTGTATGCATCCTGGAATTTGTAGTCGGTTGTACATGACAAACACATTATCTGTTCATTATCTTATCGTTTGAGCGGAGCAATAGTGTGAAATATTATGATACAGTTTATCAGTCCGACAGAGAACAATTTAAATAAGTCCAACTACCAGGCTTATATGATAAGGTTTAATCTAATATATCTAAACACATTTGACATCCTACCAATCCCAATCCTTAGTTATTTCATCCTAGATCGATTAGTCGCTGATGTTGACTATGCAGTTGGCTTTCTATTGTTTACCTCATTTTTCTTATGTAACGGATGATCTCTTTCACAGAGTCATTATGGTCTGATCTATACATGCAAGCTTATTTTACTATGATTCGTAATTGAAGTGAATTGATCTATTATCCTACCAGACTTCTTATTTATTTATTTCCTTTTAGAAGTGAGGTTTGCTTGTGGACAATGTGACAAGAAATTTACAAAACAGAGTACATTAAATGATCATGTTAAAGTTGTCCATGAAGGTATGATTAAAGAAAAAATCAAATATGATTTATTATTTTGACTATTTAAAAAAATATTTTCAGCATGCAGATTTGTGGTGATTATAGTATTTTCACAGTTGAATCCACAAGTCGATCTAAGCTAGACCATCAATAAAAACCTCAAAGTACTGAATGGCGGATCCGTCCTATTATGGTACTCTTCAATAGTGCACATTCATGATGCTACACGCGTGACTCGAACTCAGAGCCTTCGGTTTAGCACTCAAACGCTTAACCTCTAGACCACTGAGAAAACGTAACCAGTGGAAACAGTTATTCACCTCAGACAATGGATGGAGCAAAATTATGAATTTATTGGAGTCAGACATTAACGCCATTGGATGCTAGCTCAGGGTTCTAGAGGTTAAGCGTTTGCACTGGAGACTGAAGGTCCTGAGTGCGGGATGGTGGGTGCGCACTCCTGTAGACTCTCATACACTAGAATGAGACGACCATCCAGTGCTTCGTAGTTTTCAATGATGATCTAGCGTAGATCGATTCGTGAATTCAACTGTAAAAAATATTTGTTTATACATATTGAATGATAAAATATTTTCACTATTAAACTAATTCAAATAGACTGTTAAATAGTAATTATCATGTAAAATTCATTTAAGATTCCACTATCTTGTTACATAGAATATGTTAACTGTTTAGTCTTTCAATTTGTCTTTCAATTAATGTACATATGAATATTTGAATGTTTCACTAAGAATTGTTTTGAGTCTACTTTTGAACGAATGAGAACTGTTTGATTTATGAGGGTAAATACTGATCACGTCTGATTCAACATCCTTTAGTTTTTCATCAGTGAATTATTCCTTTTATTTTCCAGTTCAATAGATTGTTGTAAAGATTAATTAAATATAATGAAGAGAGTTTTCTTAATTATTGTTATATCCCAATAAGAATACTGAATCGTAACTTTTGGGATCCATTTATGGACTAATATTTTTATCGTATGATTGTTAAATAACTAAACCATTCATATTCATGTCCCTCTTATTATGAGATTTATTTTGACCTATGAACTACCATTATACAATTTACCATTCTTGAATTATGCCCTGTCTATTAATCACTCACTACCTCCCACATTCACAGCCACATTTGGCTAAATCTTGTACAAATGTTGTTTCCTATGTTATAGTACGATGTTGTCTGTCTGGTTGGCATTATAAACCGAGTATATTTTCCTTGAAAAAGCTTGGACCAGATTCTCAGGCGAAACGTTGGATTTACTTAAAATTCATTCGCTGAGATTTTACAAATATATTCTTTTTAATAAACCGAGTATGTTTGAAATAAATGATTGATATTGCAGAGGCTGAGATTGGTGTTCTGGACCTAGCTGACTGGGCTAGGCAGGAAGCAGGACCGATAAGTACTCTACACTGCTCGCACGGGTTTTAGGTGTCATTGACCCGATCGATAACTCACTGTTCTCTAATTGATGGTATTATCACGTTATACATTGACAGGGCACATAGGCCACAAGTTATAGCAATTATGAGTTGAAATCTTTTGAAAGAAAAAATTAAGGAGACATTAGATAATGGTTTTTTTCCAATTTGTCTGAGATTTAAATCATTGCTCTTGTATTGATGTTATCTGGTCGTTATAAAATTTAGGAGATTGTTTCTTCTATTGACAATTACATATTTTATTTTTGTTAGCGGGACATAGACTAGATTAAAGCATGCTCAATGCATGATTGCTTTGGTGCACGCTGATTGGCTAATTCTTATCCAATCAGCACTGGTCGATAGTTGGAGAAGACTCTAGAATCTTCTTATGTAAAAACTATAAATATACTGACGTTTTCCCTATTGTGCTTTCTACTGGCTTCTGACTTGCTATTTGGAATATAATCTCTTTCCTGTTCAACCGTGTTTTGATTTGGGGACTTGTCGAGTGAATCGGTGTCCGAGAATACTAAGCAATAGGAATAGCTGGGTCATAACCGTAAGAAGAAAGCAGGATTATAACAATTTTATAACTGGAAAGCATAATCCATAACTCAATGTCACTATTTCATCTACGATTAAATTAAGTGTCTGAAGTCGATCTATGTATGGCGATGTTGTAGTCAGGTGTTCTTGTTTATCTTTCCATCTTATTTTATTAAATCTTAATGTTGCTTTCCTATTATATGATGAAAGGAATTCAGTAGATGCATTATTCCTATCTTTGTTATCATTATCATTACTGTTAGTATTATTAATATTATCATGATCACTACTGTTACTGCTGAAAGTATTACCTTTCTATCTGATTCGTGTTGATCTTTCAGTCTGTCGAACAATCTTCACATTCCTTATTTTAGGATTTAAATTTCGCTGTCAGTTCTGTGAGAAATCATTTTCAACAAAGAAGTATCTTAGAAAACACGTGAAAACTAATCATGAGAGTGAGCGTTATTTCCAGTTCATTTATATTTATTTAGTATTTATCAACTAAACTGAAACGCACATAGTTCTGAATTATATAGACTTTCTACTTTGATTAAATTTCCAATGCATTGTAACGAACATTTATTATCTTCACTGAGGATACGATGCCTCATTAGTCACAATTTCTTACTGGAAGTTTAGTAGAGCAATTACTCGCAAGGAATTTACAAATATGCCCCAAATCAGTGACGTATTTGATGATTGTAGGGATTTATTTAGCTTGATTTTCACAGTTTGTTTAGGAAACCGCCTTGAAATCAACTGTGAGCAATCCAGTTAAAGCTCACCTTTTAGCACTATGAATGAGAAAGACGATCGCACTTCAGTACTCTTTTTCTACTTTTTTCGATTGAGGTCATGAACCGCTTGATATTAGACCACCGTTGGAAACCTGGAAGGACTGGACGGCCGTTTTGTCTTATTGTGGGACTCCTCAGCAGTACGCATCCAGGATCCCGCTCGCGGGATCTGAACCTAGGGCCTTAAGTCTCGCGCGCAAACGCTTAACCTACTGGATCACTGAGCTGGCATCCAATGGTGTTAGTGTCTAACATCAACCAATCCACGTAATTGCGCGACCATCTTCCATTGTGCTGAGGTAGATACCTGTCTCTACCCGACACGGATTAGCTCTATCGGTCACGGCTTCTCACTAGAACTCTGAGAATTTTCTCACGAAGCTAGTCACTAGTGAGCACATGTTAATTATGAGTGGATGCGCATTGCTGAGCAGCCCCACAATAGGACGGAACGGCCGTCCAGTGTTTCCAGGTTTCCAACGGTAGTCTAACATCAATCGGTTCATGATCTCATTCAAAATGTTAATAATCTCCACAACCTTCTACTTTTTTCGTGAGATTTTCTGAAATATTTTGAATGTGTAACATTTTCCGTGATTATCATTTAATCTATCTAAATATTCATCTTTTAAGTATTCTGTTTGACTATTGTTGAATATTTAGACACAATAGTTGTCGTAGTCAGTGTATCCATTTGTTTCGTTGTTTTAGTATTTTGATTTCTGTGGCTTCCATGAATTAATTGCTGATTAGTTTAGCGCAATATGAATGAAATGTGAATACATTCAATTTATCCATATATTCACATATACTTTCAACAAACAACATTGAATGCTTAACTGATAAAGCGTCCACTCTTCTTCAACTGACTCTTTGAATTATGGATTTTGTAACGGTCCTGTTCATTTGATATATATATATATATATATATATATATATATATATATATATATATATATATATATATATATATATTGTATGGTGGTATTATTGATGTATTTTATTCATTATGGTTTTATTTAATTTTAGATTATTTTTTGTGATAGTCTGTTTTTGAAATGAATTTATTCTTTTAAGGAGAAGAATCTTAATGGGACCAAACGGAAGATGTCGTTTGAGAAAACTCATTAATAGTGAATTCTTTCTACATTTTGCGATTTTTTAGTCATAAGTTTTCTAAAAATTTATTTAATGTAAGTGTGTGAAACTTTAATTATATACTTAACTATGTATTATTATTTATAATATGCTAGCAAGAATGTTAGTATGACTGTTATTTTAGTGTTTCAATGATAAGTCTTATATGTTTAATGGTTTTCTGGAACATTAATTTGTCACTCGACCCAATTAATACCACTGAATACATTTCGAAATCACTTTGACCGAAATACTGATTTGGACGAATAATTTTATGATTTATGGAAGATTTTTAGATGCATCTTACTGAGGAAAATATAAACGGGATATATTTTTATTTACAACTTGTAGTGTTGGTGTCATTAAAACGTATAGTAGAAAATGATGTCAAAGCGTTGAATCACTGTGATATATATATATATATATATATATATATATATATATATATATATATATATATATATATATCTGCTTTTGAATTAGTATGTCCTACTTTAGTTACATAGTGCATACTGATTATGTAGGGAAATTCTTTGTTTGGAAATATGCACTGAAATTAATCTTATTATTGATCGAGATTTATTTAATTGTATATTTAGGTTTGTGATAATCAAGTCTTTTTTTTTACCATATTCCAAATGTAATGATCAAAAATTACTACTGATATATGAAGCTTTGAATTTTACCAACTTCATTACTACTATTTGAAAATGAGAATGAATGATTTGATGTAGAACAACAATGATATCTTCACAATTAGACTGTCAAGCTGAGAGGACGCAATACTATGAAAAGCATCCATTTGATGAGCTATAAATCATTTGAATCATTTTAAGTTTCTTCTTCTTCTTCTTATTATTATTATCATCATCATCATTTATTGTCTGTTATCTTACTACTCTGAAATCAAATGCTGTTTAATAAACGAATTAGTTGTTTTAATAAATATATACTAAACTAACTGATATATTGGAATTGATAACATGCACATAGAATTTATCCCCAAATCTCCACTCAAATAGATATTTTGTTTATTTTTTATTTTTTAATTTATATATTTATCATCATTGTACGAATAAAGTCATTGTTT